TCTGTACTTGGACAGATGCTCTCTCACACGTGTGACAGGAATCAAACTTTTGTTGACATAAATGTCATCAATATATGTTGATGTGGCATTCACAATGGCTTTGTCTTGAGACAGTACTGTGTCAATTACAGTTTTCATGATGAGAGGTGCCACATTTAAACCAAAGCCCAGTTGTGTGAGGCATTATCTTTGACCCGTCAGTATGACAGTTTGATAGGGCCACAGTGCCTTCTCAACATGTATCTGCAGATATGCCCTTCGTAAGTCCAATAAGGATACATTAGCCCCCAATCGTCACCATTCCCACAACTTGTGTGCACACACCTCCGAGTTAGCAGTATATGGTTCCACAAAACCATTCAACTCTCGGTAATCCAGTAATGGATGGACCTTCTGCTTGCTCTCTTGTATCACTGACATTAATGGGAAGAAAGCTGAAATATATTGTAGTTAAAAGAGTCTCTATTCCTCAGACATCGTTTGTACAATACAAGATACCGCTTGTTCAATCTGCCGTTCTTGCATTCTGCACACTTCACCAACGTAAAACCATTCTGACTTCTCACTGATTCAGCCCTCTTTTATCAGGCCAACACCACAGATGACCAACCAATCAGCATTCTTCATTTTTGTTCTCAGTTACCCAGGTAAATAGCTTCCTCCAATCTGACCAATCAGTACACAACTTGCTATTGGTTGAACCATGCCAAACTGTACAAAAAAACTCCTGTTACAGTAGATACTGCTGGAATAGGTAGATGGGAGAGTAATGACATTTTCAAGGAGCAAAATGCTGATGACACATGTCACACATTGAGGTAAGACATTTTCCTTTGCACCAGATGCAAGTCACTCTGGCTTGTTTACTTGTATGTGACTGTTCACCACAGACACTAACCCTATACTTAACTCCCCACTCTTACTCTGAATATGAAAATCCTATTAGCCTTCTATCTCTTTTTCTAGAGGATCTAATAAATTCTGAACTGATTAAGAATCTTATCTCTCAGGGTCTTCTTTCAGACAAGCAACATGGCTTTCACTTCTCTAAGTCAACTGTTGATGTATTAATGATCATTGCTAAAAGAATCTATTAAGCTTTAGATAAGAATAGTGGGGGATATTTTGAAGGCATTTGACAGGGTTTGACATACTGGTCTTCTTCACAAGTTGAAAGGTTTATAGTATTTCTGGACAAATTTTTAAATGGATTCAGTCTTTCTTATCAAATCGCGAAATGAAAGTTGTCTTGAACAGTCACTCATCTAGATCTTTTTGCATTAATGCAGGTATCTCTCAGGGCTCTATCCTTGAACAATCTATCTTGCATATTTATAGATCTACCATTCGTCTATGCTTCGAATATTGCTGCAACATATGGTCTGCTTCGTCTGCTCTATATTTAGATATTCCTTGGTAAAATTGAAAGCAGAATCTGCAATGTCATTAGTCCTGACCTGGCATCTTGGCTTCAACCACTTTTTCACCACTGTAATGTAGCTTCTCTGTGCCTTTTCTATAAATATTTTCATGGTAATTGTTCTAATGAACTTTCCTATATGGTACGTAGACTTTATGAATTTAAGTACAGTACTAGATTGGTGGCAAGGTCTCATCATTTTATAGTTGAACTGGCTAGATGCAACTGTAAGTTTTATGCTAACAGTTTCTCCTATCACACTTCTCACTTGTGGAACTCTTTTCTGACCTTGTTTTCTTGTCAACTTTGATCTTCAAAAATTTAAATGCAATGTCAGTTGTTATCTTCTGTCTTATTAATTTCTGTTCTTTTATTGTTCTTACTCCTTAATGTTTTTATTTTCTTATATTCTTTCACACTCAGTAATCCCTTGTCTTAGTGGTTTTATTGCCTTGCTTAGAGAAAAATAAAAAAAATATATCACTGTTTAGTCAGTTTTAACCTTTTCATTTTCTATAAACCTTGAAATTTTGGATGAGTCATTTTTATGTCAGATTTATTTCAAGGCTTTTGTTCATTATCTTAGTATTGTAATATCTTTTTTCTACAGTTTGGAACATAAAATTTATATATCAAGAACACCAACTGCTTTTATTGATGCAACAATTTTTTTAATTTGGTGACTTTTGTGGGGGACAAGCAATATTAGTATAGCCAAGATGCATTTATGGCAACAGCTGCAACTAACTTGTTTCTATTTTGGTCATTTTGTCTTCGGCATATTGTACAGAACATGCGTGCTCTTTTTCTTGGTAAGTATCTTTTACTTTTGCAACACTCCCTCCTGATCTCATGATCACACTGATGACAACCAAGGGGGGGTCTGTTAAGCCTTGTGCTTCTTCTCAAAGGAACAACTACCATCTCCTCGTCCAATGAATTGCCTCTCAAAGGGCCATCAGACGTATTTCCACTAGGCTGAGCATAGTTTTCTTCTGAGAACATACTTAAGGCATTTTTTATTTTGACCAGGTCCTCGTTAGAGGACTCACTGTCAACATCCTTTGTTGATGTGTTTGAAAAAACAAAGGGGTGCAGATCCCTCACATGTTGTGGCATCCCATCGACAAAAATCATGCATGGGCTTCTTGTCCCACTTGATATTGGGTTATACATTGTTTTTGAGGGGGTTTTACCCACACATGATCTCCTAACCCATTGTCCATGTTCTTTGAGGAGGTGTTTTATCAATACCTTGTACCTGAACTCTATAATGGTAAATCCCATTGGTGGGTTTGGTCAAAGGTGACATGTCATTTTTGGGTGTAATCTAGTGCTAATATATGGCTTCCATCACTGAACATTATTTCCTCACAGCAATTCGCTTTACACTTTGGTGGCAGTGTTCAACTATCCTGATACCAGAGAGGATGAGTGTGCTGTGGAAATGGATATGGATTTCCCACCCATCTAAAAAATCCTTGAATAGTTTGTTATGGAAAACAGTGTCATTGTTAGTGAGAAGTGCAGCAGGAGGCTCCCATTCAAAAAATAGGGCCTTTAAGTGTTTGATGACTCTGGCTGAATCTTGTCATGCAGTTGTCACTGGATTGTGAATTGAGTGGGTCCACAGTCAGTCATTATCAGGAAATGTTTACCATTGTGCTGAGTGATGTTCATCCTAATCCAGGTCCACACATCGCTAACATTTAACTTTCCTCTTGGCCATCAATGGACTGATAGTCTCTATATTCTCTGACTCCAGCCCTAACTGCTACCCTGGACACCGTGGCATCTATCTGCCTTATGAAGTACAGGGTCCTTTTAATGCCAGGATGCCCACTTTGGCAGTGTACCAATCTTATCTTGTCTGAGCTGCATTTGCTTAGTTATGCTGCACAGAAAAGTTTCACCAGTTTCATCTCCTTCCTCACTGCATTGAGCCATCTCTGTGGTACCCTCATCAGCTTGTCTGCTTGGTTCTGTTTGGATTTCACCAGCATTATGTCCACCAATAAGTCATATTTACTGACCAGTTTTTCCAAGGTGCTGAGCCTCCTCTGAATGAGCATCTTGATTGAGGCTTTTGTGTGTATTATATTATTATATCCATCCATGAACACATGCAGTCTGTGAATAAGTGCAGTTTTTTGCCTTCCATTGAAGTGCTATGTTAACGCTCCTGACAACCAACATGCATCCTCACTACATCGCCATTTAACTTGAGGGACACACCAGTTGCAAAGGAGCTCACGTTGACCTGTACTTCAAACTCATGTCTGTTGACACACACTTGCCCTGCACAGGGTTGTCCTGTTGTACTCTGTTAATGACACCCATAATCATGTTATTGAAGTGGGTGTCTGTTACTACATAACCTCAGTTACTCTGCCCTTGATAAAGGCAGTTGCAATACAGAGCCAGCCACAAACAGGAAAGTGTCCTACTAATTTTCTGCATTGTGAAAATATTTTTTGCTAAGTGAAAACATTGGGTTTTTTCAGTACTTCATTCCCACACTTCCAGTGCAAAGTGTTCTGCTCTCCCCAAACTTGCAAGCCGAGCACGCAAGTATTGTCCTCCAATTACCCTAGGTCTTTGCACATCAATCCAAAAACAGCAAGATGTTGTCTTATGCTTGTTGCAGATGTCATATCTTCATTGATATAAATATCATCAATATAGGCTGAAATGGCCTGGAGTATAGACTCATATTTTGCCATCACAGTATCCACAATGGCTTTCATGATAACCAGTGCCTCATTGAGCCCAAATCCCATTCTTGTCAGGTAGTACCTCCACCCCTTATAAATGACAGTTTGAAATGGCCACAGTGATCATGCACATATATCTGTAGGTACACCTTGCGAAGATCAAGTGTGGAAACATTGGGTCCTTTTCTCTACCATTCTCTCAATTTTCACCACAGGCATCTACAAGAGCTATGTATGCATCAACATGCTTGTTTAGATTGTGGTAATCTAACACCAAGCAGACCTTTCTTTTATTCTTTTGAATCACCACCATTAATGGGATCAGGCCACTCAGGGGACCAAGTTTTTCCAGGGTAAGGTACCAGTCACCCATCATCTGTTCATGCCTATAGTTCATGCTGATATTCACTGCTTGCCTGCTTAGACAGAGGGTACTCAGGTACCTGTTTCTTTTAGATATTCCAGTGGGTGTCCATCCGACCACTTCCATGATGCTGTCCATGTCTTGGTACATTGTTGGAATTCTGCGGTAAATTTGATAAGATTAATGGCTGCACAAATATAGGGATTAACAAACCTGACTTCAGTCATTTTTGTAATGTGAACACTGCCCAATCTCCCAATGACACCCATCCTGAGGAGCAAGTCAAATCCTAAATATTTGTTCTTCATGACTGAAACATCTATATTGATAGGGTCACCATTGTCTATGTGGACTTACATGCTTGTGACTTCTGAACTTCTGAGGACCTGTCAGCATGTTTTCCTCTTGTTTTTCCCATGGACGACAATTGGTTATGTTCATAAACGAACCTGAGCAACTTGTATCCATGAGGGCGGTACATTTCATCACATCAGTGCATATGTCAATTACTGGGAGTCTCTTTCATGATATGTGGCGAAGAGAGACTGGCATTGACATAGTCAGGTGGGAGAGACATCACAACTGGTAGTGCTGCATTGACATCCTGGAGCGGGCTGAGGCTGGTGTTGATATATTGTCCCCCTGCTCGTTTCCCGTACAATGTTATGACGTGCCTTGGCTCCTGGCACCTGTGGTAGTGGTAGTAACAGGTCCGAGTCACTTGCCCCTTCTGGCGGCAGTCCCTTGCAAGGTGGTTTGGGCCATTACATCTGTAGCATTTAATTCTTGCAGAAGGGCCCACAGTTGGGAGAACATGTTTGCTTTGGTGGGACTTGCAGCTGCTACCACAAGTTCCTCTTCCTAAGTGCTCAGGCATGGGCCAGTAACTCCTCAAGTGGCAGTGAATCAGCGTGGAGGCTGACTGAATATGTTGCTGTATGGAGGCAGGGAGTACATGGACAAACGTGCACGCCATTGCACAGCCAGGTATTCCTCTGAACAGTACCACCAACTACCTCAAATCAGCCAGGTAAGCATCTACAGTTTTCGAGCTTCGAACTGCTCATATGCAGTGAAACTGTCCGCAGCAAAAGGATTGTATAGCACATCTTTAATTTGTGCTGCATCTGCTCTCTCTTCCTTGATCAATTGCTGATACATGGCAAATGCCCCTCCACTCAGTTGAAGGGGGATGATGGACTCAAGCCGCTTCAAACCACAGAGGTCACATACCAGTTTGACTTTTTTGACTCATTCTACTATTGACTGTTGATGAGTTTAATGCTTGTCTTTTTTGTTTTGATATTTGTAGTGTTTGTTGATGTTCTTTATCTTTCTTTATATTTTCTGACAGTTCTTTTTTAAACTTACATGTAGCTACTTTTATTAGGATATATTTTTGTAATCGTGCTGTACCTCATTAGCTAATTTTCTCTTGATTCTTATAAAATATCACTTCTATCAACAATAGTCAAATAAATAGACAAATAAATTCCTTGTATATTTAAACTTATTCATTTCTCATCATCATTTCCACTTAAATGCCTAACTGTATAAATAAGCAGTCATGTTAAATATAATTTGATAAATAACTTAGCCTGTCTTTTTATAAATTGCATTTTCCTGCAGTTGTCATATCTTCTAGTCACACATTAGTTATAAATTAATATTCATATTAAAACTGTTCTGTCCTGGGAATATGCATTGACTGATGTAGATAGAAATAAAAGAAAAATATATCCATTTATTAAAATATTGACAGTAGTTATGTCTTTACTAAAGGAATAAAACATGTCATCTATTTTCTTGCAGAATGCTTTTGCAGTTAGTCTGAATTGTATTGAATAGTGTCATCAGAAGGAATAGGTTTCAAGAATCTTGAGAAAGGATTCAGCTTGTGGATGTTTTAGGGCAAATCTTATCCTTAATTTATTTGATATGATTTTGATTATTTTTTTTTATGGCATTCACTATTTTAATAAAATCTTTGCCACTCATCAACCACTGTGTAATCTTGAAAAATCAGGGAAAATAACTGGAAGAAGATTAAATAACGGGAGACTTTATTAATAACCTCATTTTGATTTTGTGATTATAAAACAAAACATAGCTTTTCTTATTTGAGAAAATTAAATGGTTAACAAGATTTACTACCTGGGTATCTGGAATTGATCAGTCAACTTTTACACTCTTGCGTTTATGTATAATATTTGAACTTGCTAAATAAGCAGCCAAAGTTCAAATATTATACATAAACATAAATAAAAGTAAAGAATTTTTCTGAATGTGAAGATTTATATATATATGGAAAATATTTCTATTATTGTGAATATATGTTAAGTACAATTTACACAGATAAAATGACATCCAAATGTGATCTGTCCCTAAAAGATTAAAGACAAACTAGTTAAATGTAGTGATATTGTATAGAAGTTAAAATGGATTCCTGTAAAAGTACATGGTTATTTGGATAATAATAATTTAAAATAAACTTTTCATTCTTTTTTAGTGATCAAACTTTTAGAATTGTATATCAATTTCATTGATTATATCTCTTATCAATATATTTCTTGCTTTTTGTGATTTTTATATGAAAGTGTGAAAAAGTTAGTTGTGCTCTTTCAGTGGAAAGGAATGTTTTTGTGTATAATTAATAATACCCCTGTTCTGTAATAGTTGCTATATTTGCATATATATCTTATATAATAAATGTAATAATTAAAACTGTTCCATAATAGTTGTTACATTTAGTGCATAAAATCTGTCTGCAGATGTAACAACTATTATGGAACTGAGGTTACATTGCATTTTCATGCTGGTTTTACTTGACTGCTGATAATATCACAGTTTCACACATAGCTGTAATTCCACAACTGTTTGCTGTGTGATTTTTCTCTTTGGGTTTTATATAGATCATTCTTGAGCAGCCGCTCTTGTTTTTGCCATATTCTGGTTGGTTGAAAGTGAATCTTTATACAGGGTTGTTGATTGCTCTTAGCCAATTCTCTAAGGCTCGTAGTTGTCACATGTAAAAGCTATTAATCAATAGTTGTCAGTTGAACCATCACAGGATGTCCTTGTTTTTGATGCAGTTGGTTCTTTAGCACCCAAAATATATCAGTAACAGGTAGTTCCAAACAAGTTCAGCATAGTCACAGATTATTTAGTTACTGTCCAAGATTTTGTACCATAAAACAATATTGATAGAATGACGGAATTGAATAGTTGGAGTTTTAACCTCAGTGGTTGGTAATTTCCATATGTTCTTCAGTTGATAGAACTTGTCGAAGCCTATTGCTCGTCACAATACTATGGTGTTTCAGACAGAATCATCAACGTCATATCATGCATTTACAATAGAAGTGGTCAAGTTCAAACAGAAACTTAGTGAATTCTTTGAGGTTAAATCAGGCTTACTCTGAGATGACACATTGGTACCATTTCTATTTATTGCAGTGCTGAGTTATATCCTAGACCTTTCTGATCATAGCTTATAAACTCATATAGACCTCTTACTACCAGATTGAGATTATGCAGATGATATTGCTCAGTTAGGCTTCATTGTTGAAGAAGCTAACACATCTATGAGACAGAAAGATATGACAAACTGGTTGGACTGGATGTCAACTATGTAAACCGAAGTTCAAAAGCTTAACACCAACATTTCTGAGAGAGACCATTAAAGCAGTAGAGGAGTTTAAATACCTTGATTCCTTATAGGGAAGGTTACTGAATAAAATAATCAAATGAAGGTTGGTAATGAACGATAATACTTAGGACAAGAACAATACATATAAGATTTGCTAGTGGCGTGTAGAAGTAGTCAACTGTTAGAAGTAACTCAAGTGAATTCCACAATAGATCTACAACTGCAGAACAACATACAGTATTTACTACTGTATTTATGTGAATGGGGACATACACATTATCATCCATAGGTATGCTACAACAGTTCCTTCAATGATATTAGACTGCAATGGGCAAATGTTTCATATATTTCAATTAGGCTACTCCTGCCTTTGAAAGTGTCCTTTTGGGAGCATATGTGTCAATTGTATTGTCTCTTTCATGACTGAGATTGTCAAAATCTGAAGACAGACTTTGCAGCAATATCGTCCTTGTTTGTGTTTTCCATGATAGTCTTTTGGTAAATATTATAACTGATTCTAATCATGTGACAGCTGATGAATTGAAATGTGTATCATTAAGAAAAAAACTGTTTAAACTCAAGAATGTTTGCCAAAAGCCTGATGAAGCATTTCAAGCTCTCGGCAGAAAATTTACTAAGCTTCATGCAAAATTTAATGCAGGCACATTGCTTGTATTTGTTAATTGTTGTAAAGATTACAGAACTGTGCCAACTTGATGTTAAAAATTTTATATAATAATTGAACATGAGAAGATAATATGAATCCTATTGACAGACTGATTCAGTAAGCTAGGTACTAATGATTGTTAGCTGTGCACACATTTTTCTTGAATGGTACAATTACACCATGTAGAGTCTCAACTTTCTGATATGCCTTCATAGTTTTTCTATGTTGACTTAGAATAAAAGTGACTCAATGGGGTTATATCTTTTGTATCTTTAATTTGGGGTTATATCTTTTGTATCTTTAATTCTGTTCAAATGTTATTTATTTAGTAAAAGAAATTACAATGAAATTTTGAAAAGTAAGAAAATAATTTATAATTTATGAATTACTTGAATATAAATTAAGTTAGATAATTTGGACTAAATTTTTAGATCAGTGGGAATAGAACACTTCTTTTTAAAGTTTTAAGAAGTTCTTTCTCATTTGAATTTTATAAATTTTGAAAAATATTTTGTTTGGTTGATTACTTTAAATTTTCATGTGGTCTTATACATCATTACTACTGAGTAGTGAATTTGATGCTCACTGAGTGCTTCATACTAATAGACTTGTAAATTTTGGTAAATAACTACTTACAGTAAAATTTGGTAAATAACTACTTTCAGATTTCATTTTCGCATTGACATCCAACTAACCAAAATGAGAAAATATTTAGTAATGATTTTTTTCCCAGCTCCTCAGGTAAAATATTTTTCTTAGGACAGAACATAGAAATATTCAGATCCAAGTTAAATTGTATAAAAATATATATATATATATATATATATATATATATATATATATATATATATATATATAAATCAGGTCAAGGAGAGAGCTAGAGGGCCTGCCCCTACTGAAAAAATCATTTAATTTTGCTCATTGTGAAAATGACATGAATTAATTTCTGTGTGCATATGTTTATTCATGGCTCCCTTGACTTGGATGTCTTCTCCCCCTATTCAAAACATTCTGGTAATGGGCCTCATGTGAACGCAGTCTTTTTGATCTTAGGAGGAGTATGTAGATATGACTTGTAAAATTTTATCTTAAAATTATCAGCATTTGCATCAACTGCTTACATTTGAAGGCAAGTCTTTAAATTCTTTACACTTCATTTCAGAGGACATTTCTGTAAAATGGCTTATCGAGCAGTACAGTGAAGCTTGTCAGAGTTTAGGCTGTGACTTGTCTATGTAACAATAAAATTGTTACATAATGATTAAAATTAATATGAAGAAAACTAACACAGTTAATCCATAAAATAAAAACAACTATAAATTATTACTTACTGAAAATTAAAAGAAGGAAACAATGAGGAAAGCAATATTTTTTGTACATGTTTCTGAATTATTTGTTTAGAATTGAATTTTGTTCAGAATTTGCCAAATGATGTGATTAGCTGTTTGTCTTAAACATTTAATAATTTCATCTATGATATTATAAGGGTTGCAAAATTATTCCACTACATTTTCCTATCTTTAAAAAAAAAACATAGCAGTCTATTAGTTTAAATTGAATATTTAAAAGAAAAAAGTATCCACAATTACATTTATGTAAGATTTGCTAATTATTTTAAAAATTAAAGTTGCTTTATTTTTATTTAGTTATTTATTTCATT